GTGTGTAAGATATTTAAATGGCACCGACCCAATGCCGGCAAGCGTTAGCTTTCCATTATTAAGCTGATAATGTATCCTGAAAGATGGGGATCGCGAAACAATCTGCATCTCCATATCTGTGTCCTGCCCTAAGTAATAATGAAAAGCATATTACAAAGATCTATTTTCTCTTACAATATCAGTGTTTTTATTGCCAGCTGTTGCGTTCTGCAAACTGGCTACTTGACAGCAGTGGCACATAAATGAGTGATTTAACATCGGTGGTACAGAAGGAGGCGCCATTATGTGGAATAAATGCTGAAATTATGTCAGATTAGCTGAGATTACACGTATGGAGGCTGGTCAAAGGGGGAACGAATCAGCCTGAGTCACTGCAGCTCCCAGCTCTGCTTAAGGAATTCAAATTTTTGCCCCTCAGCCCTCGTCTGGTGAGTCAACTCAGTCTGTGTTTTGCATTTCACTTAGTGCGCCTATTATTCTGCTGATTAGAAAGTGGTAATTTGAGTGAGATGTGACCCCTAATTATCACATCAGCCGCTCTTGACGGAGAGGATCTCGTACCGAAAGGCTCATTGAGTGAGCTGGCTGGGCGCCACTGAGGGGAAAATAAATAGTTCTGTTACACATTAATTGTGAAGGAAGGACTGATGATGGAGAATTTAAGGCCCAAAACATGGACTTTGTTGTTTATGGTAGTGGTCCCCAATCAGGTCCTCGGGGGGTGACGGACAGTCCATGTGTGTTTTGTGGACTGTCTGGCAGGGAGCTGGGAGGTAGCAAAAACATGGACCAACTATGGGTCCCCAAGGACCGGACTGGGGAACACAGGCTTATGGGAATGACCGTCCACTGGGCTTCGAAAGCTTCCTGCTTACTTTGCTATCGAGGCAGGGGGATGCCCATAATGAATCACGGCCCGCAGTGCGTGAGGCCGTATTACCAGCTTAAAATGCGTTTTCCGGCACTTCAATCTGTGCAGTGTTGTCACTCTCCTCCCGACGAAAACACCATGACGGGGATATTTGGCCATTTCAGATGGTGTGAGAAAAAAACTCGCAAACCACCATCGCTCCTTAAAAATGCAGTATATCAGAGTAGTTTCCAAAAAGCCGGGTGTAAATACACTGGAAAATTCTTATAATGACCTTTTTATTGGCAGGGGTCCTGGTTTGGAAGGGGCCTTGTTATTGGGCTCCAACATTCACCAGACTACAAGCCAAAGTGATTCCAATATTTCATGTAACTTATGCACTTATACATTTTCATTTATTTGGCTGGTGCATTTACATGCAAGTAATAATAGAGGTAATACATAAATCCTTTCTGGGGCGCTTCTGTAGTATACTTGTATAGTATAGTATACTCTTACCAGGTTACTAGGATCTGCTTGTTTGTGGTGCCAAAGAGCCACAGAGACTTGTTGTTTTCGTAACACTTCAGTTAAAGCACTCATACTCTCATAATACATTATAATACATTCATGAAGTATTATAAACATGACTATAACTATTTATAGAAAGGCATATCACATTATAACCATGTTTATTATGCATTATGAATGCTCTACGAAGCTCTCATCTATAATACACTATAAATACCTTCACAATGCATTGTAATGACTTATACTGACCATTATAATTCATTTTGAAGGTATCTATAATGCATTATGATAACTGCTTTAAGTAAAGTGTTAAAATGACTGGAAAACAAGTAGAGTTAAATTTTCACGATTAAATGACTGGATGTGATTCCTGCTTCAGATGGATAGGATTGGGTATTATGGGTAATTTTTTGTATTCCTGTGCAAATAACTCCTTGCACAGTCAGCTGTGGGCGCATGTGTGTACCCACCCCGACAGAGAGATAGGAGGCTCTGAGCCCAGCAGCTGCCTGCAGCTCCACTTCGCCGGAATCACAGCTTCCCCCGCGAGTCACACTGCGTTAGGCACTGAAATGGCGTGTGCGTGACCAGCTCTGCGGGGACGGGCTGGGAGCGGCTTCCTCGAGAGAGAAGTGGCTTCACCCATCTGCTGCTCGACGAAGGATGCGTCTTTTTTTAATGACGGCCCAGATCATCTCTGAAAATCCCTGCCTCTCGCTGCAGATCACATGGTTTTCTGTGTCCCTTTAATTGACACACCAAATGCATGTTACTATCCAACAGTCAGTGGAATTACCTTATAATCAAACTGATCTGGCATCAGTAAAACATCACTCGCTACTGACCTGAGGTTTTTGGGTGGTAGTGTTAAAGAGGAGAGTCTAATTTGTCACACATGTAAAGCACCTATAGTTCATTGGTGTTCCGAGTAGAAAAACCTTCAGACCTGAAGTTGTGTACAGCTGTGATGAGCTGTCATGAGCAGATGATGTGAGATGTGAGGGTTTCTTGTGATTTGATTTGTTGCATGGGGACCGTCTGAAAACTCCCTTTAAAAATGTAAATGAAAACACCGCGAGGCATATTCAGCAGCATTATGGTTCACCGAGCATTTCTACACTCCTCAAAAGGACCAGCAAAGAGGCAGGCAGCCAGATCGGAATCACATCTGCGTATTACTCTTGGAGTCTCCTAATTTATCATCATTAACATTCATCAATATTCAGCACTTCGAATCGCCCCCTACCAACAAGCAAAGAACTAAAAACTTCCCAGCTGGGACCTGGCTTGTCAGCATCAGCACTACACTGGTCTCTCCATTCCCTGACTTTTCCATGGGAGGGTGGAAAACGAGCCAGACTCCAAACGTGCCCATGAGTCACAGTCAAACATTAGCTTTTCATAGTAATTATTCATATGATCTTGTAATATCTCCGACTAATGAATTTGTTTGCATTTTTTACTAAATCACTCAGCCATTCTTGTACATCTTGAACAATTATACACACATATTTTTTTTTTTGCTTTAATCAACTGTACTGTTTTCTGCAATAAAGAGTCTCATTCAGTAGTTCAGTAGGAGGGCAGATCGGAGGTGAGGAAAGCAGGTTTATGGATGCAATTTCCGTTGCTTTGAAATTAACAGGTAGTTATGGTTTGTTATATACATTGTTCTCTTGCTTAGTGAGAATTACCTTTGGGAGAATTACCTTTGCAAATGGTAGAATTAGGGACACGTGATTTTGCTTAGTTTCACATGTCCCTGGGTTACCAAGGGAGGGGCTTACCTTTCACTCGTTTAACCAATCACAGTGTTTATCGTATGACATCACCACATGGATCAAAACCAGTGTTTTCAGTTAAGTGGCAAGGTGCACAGATCTGTAAAGTAACCGTTCTATTGTGCAGGCCTTTTGTTAAGATACAAAACAGAAGAATATGCTTACCTGCAAAGGCTGTATGGAGCAACGTAAGGGCCTTTATTTAATAATAATAATAATAATAACAATAATAAGGCTTTAACGGGCAACCTTCTGATCAGAAGCACAGAGGCTAAACCACACCAGCCAAGGCCAGGCATTTAGATGGAGACCTTGAGTTTGAAAATGAAATAAACAAATAAAAACAGAGCAGTAATGTCATATGATGAAGACTGTGATCGGTTAAAGAAGTGAAACGCAAGCCCCTCCCTTTTTCGACCCAGGGACACGTCAAACTCAGCAAAATCAGAACGTGCATAAAATTATAATTAGAATATGCTGATTGTCATTGCACACATAGACAGAAACTCTGCATAACCTCCTCTGCTGCTGATACACAAAATATCCATGTAAATCTTTAGTGATTCGCCCTGACGTATGTTTAAAAAGCAGCCATGTGATATAAGGCACAATATTCCTGAGCTAAGCCCCAGGGACTCTCCCTATTGGGGAAGCTAGCTGGGGCTCCTGCAGTATTACAAGACAGCTGGTTTTGAGTTACTTTATGTTTTGTTTGAGGAAGAGAGGACACTGCTGGCATTCCCGTCTCGTCAGGGACTTCAAGAACACACAAGCTAAGCTCTGGGTCCACGCCAGGGGACCTGCTGCTGGAACTGTTTACGGTGCCGAGTCAAGCATGCAGTAGAAAAGTATTTTTGACAAAAGCTTTGCTCTCGTAGGTAAGATGTCCACCTTTGCTTTTGCTGTGGCTGGTTCCTTTTTAAAGTGACAGTCCGGCTAATGGGAGAGGCTTTGATTGTTACTCAGCTGGAGATTGTGATCATTCACGTCTCTCAGGTTTAAACGTGAGCTTTGAGCTTCAGTATGTGTTCAGTCTTCTCCCACTGCTGCCCCCCTTGTTTTTATTTTTCCGGTTATTCGCTGCCTAAGGTTGTGTTTTCCTCCAACGGCCAGATCAGATAGTGCTATTTCAGAGAATTGAAAAGCCATTGTCAGTTTTATCTGCGTTTATTGTCACCAACTCTGAGCTGAATTATCGTGCGGTTCACATGCATCCCACACCATCGTCGGTATCTTCTGGGGTAAACACGCCTCCTCTCTCAGTCCGAAGGCGTGCGGAAAGGTGAATCGGTATCTCTGAATTCCCGGTAGTGCGTGAGTGTGTGTGCGAGCGGGTGCATTCGTGCGCACTGCCCATTCCGTCCATATTGAGGGTGAAAGATGGACAGAGTCAGAGCAAAGGCATGACGGATTTGCTGTTGCCAGGCGTCAGCGGTGCAGGCCTGTACCGAACAATTTTTCTCACCTTCTCTCCACTCCTGTGGAATTTGCCAGCAGTATGGGGTTGTTTTGTTTGAGACGTTTGAGCTTCAGGGGCACCAGGACGCGCCTTGAGCACCTGGCTAATAGGAGCATTTCCTGATGGTGGACTGCATCTGTGCCTTTCTTCCAGTTTCTTTTAAAGTATGTGCTTCAGGCGGAATGCACAGCTTACAAAATAACAGGTAAGGATGGCTGTTAAAAGGACTGACACGCTCTGCGGGTGTAGAGCTACTGCTTCAGCTGGTCTGTTTATCTCCTCCTAGCTGCCTCGTATAGTAAACAGTGTGGGTTCCCTCCCTGTTTTATGCCTCTCTGAATAACAGGCCTCCCCCACCCCCCTCCCTGTTCCGTGGCAGATCTTCCACATGACCTACGACCTGGCCAGCGCAGTCATGCGCATCTTCAACCTGATCGGCATGATGCTGCTGCTGTGTCACTGGGATGGCTGCCTGCAGTTCCTGGTGCCCATGCTGCAGGACTTCCCCGCCGACTGCTGGGTGTCGCTCAACAAGATGGTGGTATGTCCCTCACTGCCTCCCAGCCGCCTGCTAACAGAAGCAGATGTGTTGGTAAAAACAACACAGGAATTAACACCATGCAAGCTGTAATATTATATGTGCAATAACTGCACCTTCGTCGTCTGTTGGGGTTGTGGGCACTTTTTAGACTTTTTCATATTTTTTTTTATTCAAAATTTTATGTGTGTCTGTATTTGAGTAATGTTTACACAAGCCTTGTCGTGAGCATTCCAGTGTATGTTCATCATGCACATGACAGATAAAGGACTCGACTTTGACTCGACCTTGACCTTGACCTTGACTTGACCTTGACTCTGACGTTGACCGTCCTCTGTCACGGGGCACCTGGTTGGCAGGGAACCAGTACACTAGACTAAGATCAAAACCAGGCGTAATCAAAGGTTTGGAAGCTGGGTAATCTATTCTGGGAATGAAAGGAAAGGCAGGCACATGTGCAGAGGCGGGGAGATCAGTGCATACACTCTCAGTGAGAATGGGAATGGGGCACACACACACACACACACACACACACACACGCACACACACACACACACACTGGGCAGGGGATCTGGGTAATAGCTCACGCGGAACCACATGGGAGGAGAATCAGGCACTCAGGAAGAAGTGGGGATTGTGAATGCTCAGATATCAGGCATAAGTCACTCATTCCTCACAAAGAAAGCTGTTAGTACTCTGGTGGAGATGACTCTGGTTGTGGGGGTGTGGCTGCAGTACAGGGGCGCGGCTGCAGTAAAGGGGTGTGGCTGCAGTACAGGGGCGTGGCTGCAGTACAGGGGTGTAGCTGCAGTACAGGGGTGTGGCTGCAGTACAGGGGCGTGGCTGCAGTAGGTGGGCGTGGCTGCAGTAAAGGGGTGTGGCTGCAGTACAGGGGTGTGGCTGCAGTACAGGGGCGTGGCTGCAGTAGGTGGGCGTGGCTGCAGTAAAGGGGTGTGGCTGCAGTACAGGGGCGTGGCTGTAGTATGTGGGTGTGGCTGCAGACAGGGGCGTGGCTGCAATACAGGGGCGTGGCTGCAGTATGTGGGTGTGGCTGCAGTACAGGGGCGTGGCTTCAGTACAGGGGTGTGGCTGCAGTACAGGGGCGTGGCTGCAGTACAGGGGCGTGGCTGCAGTACAGGGGTGTGGCTGCAGTACAGGGGCGTGGCTGCAGTATGTGGGTGTGGCTGCAGGCAGGGGTGTGGCTGCAGTATGTGGGTGTGGCTGCAGACAGGGGCGTGGCTGCAGTAGGGGGGCGTGGCTGCAGTATGTGGGCGTGGCTGCAGTATGTGGGCGTGGCTGTGGTGTGAAGGCGGAGTCTGACCTCACAGTCGGGTGCATGTTGGCTCAGTGGGTCATGCTGTTACTGCGCATGTCCAGAGTTCTGGGGGTCGAATCCCCCAAAGACGGATGAGTAAAAGAAACTTGCATTGACTTTTTGACAGACTGCAGTGTTTGTCATTGCTTATTTTTTTTAAGCGTTGAAAATCCACTCTCTCGATCTCTTGAGAGGCCTGAGATGGGGGTGCGTGCGTCCTCCGCCTGCCACAGGGGGGGCGTGCCGTCTGCTTACACATTTAAACACGTGTAGCAAAAAAGCCACCAGATAATAGCCCCATAGGACCCGGTTTTTGCGAGGTACTCGACCTGAATTGCGTCTTAAAAAATATCACTTTGCGTGACAGCGAGGCTCCTGCCACACAACCAAAATAAAAACAGCGGTAATACTATCAATAATAAATGCGGTCTGGGATCTGACTGGAAATTTTTCAGGTGTGACGCACGCCCCCTGCCCTTTGGGTCAACCTATAAAGAGAATTTAAAAGCTATGATGGGCACTCGGACACCCCCTGTGCTGGGAGGGAGACGACAGGCCACCGGGGTCCGGGGGGGGATGTGGGGGAAGGGGAGGGCGCCTCGCCCTTCCTGCTCCACGTTCATCCAAACGGCAGCGGTAACGACAGGCCGTGCTTTCTGGCACAGTCAAAGTGTCAGCTTTTACAACTAATAAAACTGATTCCAGCACACTGTGGTGTCACCAAGCGGATGGGAGGGGACCATAGTGGCTCTCAAGTGTGTGTTGCGTGACACACTAGCCACGTCTCACTCACATCCACAATGCGTCATGCTTCTCATGGGTTTGGACGGGATCAATTAGTGTGGATACATCAGAAAAACAATGCTTTCATTCGTACTACTGTTACACAATTTGTAATCTGTGAAATCAAAACAGCATTTTTACCGGAGGATGTTTATGGACCAGCACAGGTACTGTACTGTACTTACTATGGCAAAGTATTTATTCATTCATTCATTCATTCATGGATTTATTTTATGTACCTGCATGTTCTATGCTCAGGTTCTGAGCCTATCCCAGAAACAATGGGTGCAAGGCAGGGAATAACCCAGTATGGGGCACCAACCCATCATAGGGCACACCATCTATCCATCCATCCATCTATATACTGGGCCCGTCGCACTGCCAAAGTATTCAGAATAGCATGACTTCCAAGATGTTACATTTACCAATTAGTTGCAGTTTTATGATGGATTTAAAGTCTAATCTGTCAGCCAATAACTGCATCTTAACACAATCTGCAGAATCACTTGCATGGCAAGATGCTTTAATCCATTAGGGAATCTGTTAGGGCGCTGGGCTGTCCAGGGATCCCTGAGGACTGGATTAAGAAACACTGCTTTAATCAACTTGGTTATTCATTAATGAAATGGCCCCAGTAGGGGGCACTGTGGTGAGAGAGTGAGTGTTTGCGAGGGCCCATGGCCCATTTCTGGGAAAGATGATGCAACAGCGCTTTCATTAAAAAAAATCCATTTTAAAAGCACTGTTTTTTTATTGTCGAGTGTTAATCTATTTTGTTGGACAGTACAAATTTTTTGATGATATTTCATGGTTGTTGGCATTTTATTTTTCTGAGAAATTAATTATTAATTGCAGTTATTATTCATAGGTCACCAGCCCATGACTCTGTACTAGAGAAGTGTTATGGAAGATGGATGGATTCAGCGTACTCCTCCTGTTATTATTTCAGAATAAAAGACCCACAGCAGCCACAAAGTGTACAAAAGCCAATAAAACTGAGCCATAAAAACTGCAGTAGAAATCATTTGAATGACAACAGACCAGTTAGCCCTGATTCTTTTAGAGGCAAAGCTCCTGGTCATTCTTGTTGGCAGTTATGGCTTTAAGCTCATATTTACTACGCAGTAAAGTTGACAGTTTCACGTTTACTTATGTTTCCACATAAAAAGACAAATGACTAGCAGACAAGATCTTAGGATACTTTTGAAAATCTGTAGAAAATCGGTCACAAACACTTCATTCCTTTAATTGTGCTGCTTAGTTGGAGCACAAGCTGTAGCAGATATGCAGGGAGTACAAACATAAAGGCACTAGGCTGAGGAGGTCTGGACCATTTGGGTCAGAATATACAATATACTTGTATACAGAAGAGCTGCTAGGGGTCTAGGATATGTTTTCTGGAGGTCTAGCCAGTTAAAATCCTTCCATAACTTGCTTATGAAATAGTGCAAATAGTTTCCTCTTATTTGTGATTTTTTTTTAAAATCACTTCTTAATTAGTCATTAAACGTTGCATCCTGAGCAGGGTCCCCCCCCCCGACCCCACACTGTTTGGGATATGCCTCACGGCCTGCATGACCCAGTGCCGGAGAAGCATAATGTGGATGGATGGATTATGAAAACTGCATGGTGCAGCACGCCCCGGGCCTCCCTGTAGACCGCTCTGCGATGCGCGACATTTACGGAGCCATCGCACCGGCCCATCCAGTGGATTCCGGGGTCTCTTTTGTGCAGGGGAGACCGCAAAGAGCCCGACGCGCTGAGCCGGGCCCGAAATATCCACCTACCCCAGAGTGCTGAGCGGCCGTGCTTTCAGCCGGCATCAAAAGGCATCTTTACAAAGCCGTACCTCAATAAAGTCAACATACTCATCGGTGTAATAAAATGGACGTAATTAAAACTGATGGTGAAGTGTTAGATTCACTTTTATTTTGTGCAGCGTTCCCTCTCGCCGAGAAACCAACAGGGTATATTCAAAGAAAACAAGACGGACTCGATCATTTACACATGGTATATTTATTAATGATTTGTATAAATCATCATTCCCATTCATTTTTGAATATCCTTTGCTAATTGGGTAATAGGCAATGGCATAGACTGACCTTTGGGAAACTGTGTTTTGGGTATGTAGGCTCCTGTTACGCTCGAAATCAGATGGGTGGATGGATGGATACCCCAATCAGACTGACAGTAAAATACAGTCAGCCCACATCTTACACTTTTTTTTAAACATGGTTTTGAACCATGGTTCGCAGCGGTGGCTCAGAGGCTAGGGATCTGCCAGCAACTGGAAGGTTGCTGGTTCAAATCCCGTGAACGCCCAGAGTGATTCTACTGTGCTGGGCCCTTGAGCAAGGCCCTCAACCTGCAATTGCTTCATCTTGGGTATGATGTTAATCTACATCCAACCCTGCAGGCCGGTCCTCCAACTTACCTTACTTTAACACTAACTAACATAATTACCCAGTTTCACGTTGGTGTATAAGCGTGGAATGAGCACGAGGTGTGTGTCAGCATACTGTCTGTTCGAACATCCACTGGTCTAGTTGTTGTCTAGCACTGGTTAGTGGCGAAGCTGTACTTGTACTGTACAGTGCATGTATAATGTTTTTTGTCACTTTCCCCCAAATCAATACATTATAACAACTAATGTACTGTTTTTACATATAATTTACATCAAATAGGTGCAGTTCTGTAATCTAGGCATGATTTAAAGTGTACAGGTTTGGAATAGGTGTATATGCAGAGTAATTAGCCACTTTTATATAATGGTTTTGGATGCTTTATATAATGGCTTTGGAGTATCGCGGTTGGTTGTGGAACCAATTTATTTTGTAAGATGCGAGAGCAGATATGCATTATTAGTGGCAAGGGAGAAAATGAGTGAGTGTTCACAGCAGAAGCATGTAGACTTTGGCATCATAATAGTACATTACCTGACTTACTTCGATCACTTTACGTACTTTCCCTAAATCTGGGAGGGGTCAAACTTCACCGAAAGGATGAATATGAAATGGCAGCCTGTCACAGCTATACAGCTCTCACAGCGTCTCAGGGACATTCGCCGCTTGTCACCGTCACCAGTCTCTCCCCCTGTTTGTTTACGAACCGGCCTCCAATGGCAGAGTTGCTGGTTCTCCTCCATTGAGCGTGTAGGTGTGGAGGGCGGTCAGAGGCCGGACAGGCGCAGGACCCGCAGGACGTGCAGAACCTGCACTGCTGCATCACCGGCGACTCTGCGACAGCTGCTGGTTAATGGAGTCGACCTGGGCTCAGGCATACCCCGCCGTTCGAGACCCCACCCCCTCAGCAATCATACACCTTGTCACCTCGCACACAGAATATGCAATACGTTACTTGCAGATGTTCCCAATGGCTACTTTTATTTAGTAAATCTTGAGTGCAAGGCTCGGGTAAATTAAGTCTTGTCAAATTAAATTCATGTCTGGATACTATAGATGTCATAACGCAGTTCTAACTTAACGTTCTCTACCTCCTCCAGCGTAGAAAACGGGAAGCATTTCGGTGTGCTTCGCCGAGCCGTCACGGGGTTTCATAAAACGCACTGCTGTTCTAGTAGAGCTGAAACTCAAGATATGGTGCTGTCTGCTTCTAGATTAAAGACATACATCACTGGGGCTTTAATAGGAGAGTCCGTTGGAGCAAAATGTAACTCACTGGAGGAACATCATAAATTCAGAGAAAGGCAAACCGATTATAGGAACAGGACTTCCTGTGACTGTTAAATATGGGTTTTGGTGCCTGTGGTAATGATCCCTCTGGTTCTTTGTGGCAGATCTGGGTTTGTACGGGACCATCCTCTGTAGGCTTCAGATGGGGGCTGTGGCTTCACATTTTGATGAAAACAAGTGTCTGCACATGCGCACCGGCGAACTCACCCCTGCCAGATTGGTCCGGTGGCGTCAGCCGGGGGCCGCCCAGACGCTCATCCTACCGTCTCCGCCCGCCTACATTAGCGCCTGCGGGGGGGCGTGTTTATCCTCGTCACGCGCCTCCTCTGATGTCACCACCTGTTGCTCCGGCCGGCCCGTCCCGCTCCATGCCCAGCAAGGCAGGGTGGCATGCTGCCTCTGCACCTGCAGGGGGCGCCGAGCAGCGGGGCGTCGTCAGAGCGGAGAGCCAGTGGGGCCGCGTGAGGCCGTGGAGGCTCTCATCTGCCATCCTTGACTCGAAGCCAGGCTTGACTCAAGCCAGGCTCCTCGGAGCTCATCTGCTCGCCCTGCCATTCCGCCGATCTTCTTAATCTCCCCCTCTCCATCGCCCGCTCCCACTGTCAAACTGTCTCCATGTTTCAAGTCAGACTGGTGTTTTTTTTTTTTCTCACCTCCCGAGCTAAAAATAGCGCCTGAGACTGAATCCTGCATAACTCCAGGAAAATGCCAAGCGTCTGCTGAGAAACAGCTCAAAACACACCGGAGATAAAGGTCCTCCCCTCTGAAGCGAGTCAGGTATAACCGTGATGCTCGGAAGATAACAGGCTGACGGGGGCAGCTGGCTCTATTCAGGGGGTTCGACACTTGAATGTATAATCGCTGCTGCTGGGGGAATGTGGTCGTCCCTGTGAGTAGATTAGGGGGCAGCTGGGAGGAAGGCAGACATCACAGATCCGGCGTTTTCTGGGCTAAAGGACGGGCAGTGGCATGCCTAAGCAGCGTTCCTGCCCCCGGCCCGGCGCTGACGACCCCTTCTCTCTGTCCCCCCCTCCCCCAGAATGACTCCTGGAGTGAGCTGTATTCCTTCGCCCTCTTCAAGGCCATGAGTCACATGCTTTGCATCGGCTACGGGCGACAGGCGCCGGAAAGCATGTCTGACATCTGGCTCACCATGCTCAGCATGATCGTGGGGGCCACCTGCTACGCCATGTTCATCGGCCACGCCACCGCGCTCATCCAGTCCCTGGACTCGTCGCGGCGGCAGTACCAGGAGAAGGTAGGCGGCGCTCGCCGACACCTCTACTCCCGCTGATGTCGACCCACCCCCTCCCCCCACCTTGGCCGGTAGGTCGATCTCTGTTTGCGGTTCTGCTGGGACCTGGTGTTAAGTTTCGCTGAGAATCACTGTGACGTTTATATTTACAACTCTGAGCATGTGTTTACGGCCCCGAACGCGAGGGGTCATGTCTGCCTCCTCCCCTTGCGATTACTGACCTTTCCTGATGTCTAGGCATCGTTTTTCTCCAACTGTCCAGGCACCCAGATCTCTGCATTTTGCTTAGAGCAGTGATTCCCAGTCGGGTCCTCGGGGATCCACAGACAGTACAGGAGCTGGGAGGAAGCAAAGATGTGGACCGGCTGTGGGTCCCCCAGGAACGGATTGGGAAACACTGGCTTAGAGGTTGCTGCATGACTGGGGTGGAGAAGATAGCCCTGTCTCTCTCGTGTGTTTCCCCTGTTTGTATGTCTGTAGGGATAGGAACTGAATTTGCTTGACATTTATAGCAAATCAGTGAAGATTTTGCGTTTATTTTCACTAAGAACAATAGAACAGTGATGAGCAGTATTGGTTAGATTTTATTGAAAATTAAACTTATATAATTTAAATTTATAAAATTGCCACGTTCATCAGAGCCTGGCACCGCTGTAAATATTTCTGTGACCTGTGGGTCTGGTTTTTGTTTGAAAGCTGTTATGATACCAGTGATGAAAGACATTAGCTGGTCAGTGAGCTTCACCTGGCCGATATATCAGACACGATTTTCCCCAGAAGAGAGAGCACACATGCTGTTCCAGAAAATAGGGCAAAGTAGCGGCCAGCCAGAGTGTTTCGGGAGAGTAAATAAAAGCTGAACAAACGTGGAAAATGGAACAGAAACCGAACAAAATGCAGCACTGGTCATAATCTGTCCTCAAACCCATCTAGGTAGCTCTGACGATCGACAGACAGCCAGACTGACCGCCCCTTTATTGTCAATATTATTGTAATACTATCAATTGTATTTCAAAGAAAACAATAATAAGTGAAAATGATGTGAGGAGGAGTGGAAGATGTGAGAACGCGCTGCATTATCACAAAGACAAAGGCTTTTATCGGAAGGTGTTTGCATAGGAACTGGAATAAAAGCAGCCCCCCCAGCGAGTCTGTGCCAGCGGGACCGACCTCCCCTGCCCCCTGGCTGTGCCCTCGGACCCTCCACTCAGAACCCGAAAAGATGCATTAAAAGCGGCTGACAGTTTCAGCTCATTCACACAGTTTCTGCGATAATCCATATGATACTGTGCTGCTGGCAGAACCTGACAGGTGTGACTCTGACGCACGATTGTGGCTGATTGTGATGCAGCTCAGAGCTCCATTCATTCCATGAGTTCGCTTAGACTCACCATTCACTGTGTGCGTGAAGTGGGCACCGCCATTTAAGCACGTCCAGGTGCGAGGTGCTACAAGCCGTTCGTGGGCATTTCAGAGCAATCGCTGTAGATGACAGACGGGCATTTCCCTGAGAGCAAAAAAAGATACTTTTGCAGCACCTATTTGAATCTTGATCAGTGGAGGGAATTGAATTCAGGCGACGTAATGGGGGGTGTGCCACATTATTCTTAATGGAAAGTTTTATATCATCTAATTGGATGAAAGAAGTCTTCCCAGTGTTGTGATGCATGTAAGTGTTTATATTTTACAAATGCCCTGTGGAAACCCTTTCGAACAGTGATCAATCGTGGAAATTAGATAATGGAGAACTGATTTTCCTAGTTGGGATACGTGCGAGGGCTGAGACTGGAGAATTACCTAAACATGAAGCTTAGAAGGTAACGGATAATTCTCAGCTTATCTGCTGTTTAGAGTAACCTTGAAATCTCATTATCTGTAACCGCTAGACTGTCCCGACTGCGATGCGGAGCATGAAAATCTTTCTATCCCCTATAGCTCATTTATGCCACATTTGTGTTGGTTTATGCTCAGAACTGCTTTATATAACCTCACAGAATCTAGAAGAGTTGTGTTCAAAGGTGCAGGAACTCAAGTCTTGAGAATTATGCTGTGTTCCATTTACCTTGGAGGTCAAAAGTTGGTGCTGGGAATTACGTCACACTGCATTCCAGTACAAAGCCATTTAGCAATACCAGTTCTAGCCAGGTTCATTGTTAGCCATTGCTAGCAATACCAACGAAGAATAACAATGCGTTTGCGCATGCAAACACCTCAGCGACATGTCCACTGATAGTGGTTGGATAGTAATGTGTGTACGACCAATTAAAAGAACACAAATAAGACATCAGTGCCAATAAACCGTATATATCTACAGCTTTCACTTCTGTTGATAAAGGGCAGCCATCTTGAAGTCCGAGGTTCCTTCTCCTTTCTGAGTCGGAACTCCGATTTCTGGGGACATTCCAGTTGACATCTCTCGGAAACCTCGGAAATTCTAACAGCCAAGTTTGAATGGAAAGCACGCTTAGTCCAGAGTCACTACGAAGGACTCTTCGCCCCTAGTTTACAGTTTTCACACTTACTAAGTTGATTGCATCAGTGATTCATGAACTAATTTGCATATCAAACAAAACAGGAAATGTGAAATAAATTTAATGCCGGTATAAACCCCGGTGCATTTTGTAGATGGTAGTGATAGTAAATCTGGAGGTTCTGTAGCCAGCCCTTCAGTTCAGCCACCCCTCTTTTGGAGGAAGACGATTTGCATTGTAATCCTCAGCTAATGCAATCAGTCAGCAACTCGTCTCTGATAACTTGCACTAGCAATGAAGATAATGGCAAATTTCACACAATGACAAAAATGAACTAAAGGTAGATTTGCTGTGGAAATCAGTTCCTGCACAGTACTTCATTATTAAATTTCTGTAAATGATTATAAGTAAAGCTCCCAAATCTTCTTAAGCTGGTAATTACAGTAATTATAAGACATGACACATTAATTGCATTCAGATAGGCATTAATGCATCTTCACAAGAAATTTCACATTCATCTTCATTGTCCCATATTAAAGGAGTTGTATGTTTTATTTAGTGTAATAATAGTAATGTTAAAGTGCTGATTTTTAAGTAGATTTTATTTTTTGGAGCTTTAGGCATAGATATCTGATGCATTCATTGAAGCAGAGGCTGTCCCTTTAAGACCAAAACTGAATTCTGAAGATGGATTGGAGGATGTGGGAGAGACGCCTGAGTGGCCTCACTATTAGATTGGCCTATGTCCCCTGTGGGATTCTGGGACATTGTCAAGGCAGCAGCTTGGCATCCCGGGGATGGCCTTCTTAAGGCGACGGAAGCTGTCTCTTCGTCCTTGATTACTGAGCAGCTGGCAAGGCGCAGCAGAGGAAAAGAGGACAGGCTGCTCTGTGATGACCTGCCTCGTCCGGAGAATTGCCTGTCTCCCGCTCTTCCGAACTGGTTCTGAAAGGGCCGGGAATGTCACAGATGGTAGCCGTGGCTTGGCTCCTGGTCTGTGCCGCTCGCCGGGGGCCCTTCGAGAACCGTGGGTTGGTCGAAGAGTTTGACTGCCGCCTGTCTAGAAAAGGAGATATTTCAGGAGGAAATATTCAAAGACCTAGAAGAAGTCTCTCAGCGGAAAAACAAATGGGGCTATAAGGGAATTTGAGCAACAGGAAATAAGAAAGTCGCTTCTCCATTGGATAGAGGGGGTGCCACATATTCCCATATAATACGATTTGTGAAAGATCCACAAGTGTTTTGTGAGGAACATGTAGTTTAGTGATCAGGTGAAAGAGGTTGTAGGTTCCTTGTCTCTCAACCCTGCTATTGGCTTTACCATATTTTTAAAATAATTGTAGGATATTTATAGCTTTTGCTCATGCATCTTCTTTTTCTTAATATGTGACATATTAATGCAGGGAGACAAATGGCTTTCCCTCTGTTTAACGCGCATGTGGTGTTAATGGGTGACTACTCTACCTGATCACTGCCTTTGTGCGACATTTCAGAAGTCCCGCCTCATCCGAAGAATGAACGAAGCCAAGCAGGGAAGCATTTACTTGATTAAAGACGTGAAGTGACAGTCAGTGATTTTAGTGTCACTAACAGTTCTATTAGTTTTGAATTAGACTTAAGCTTGGAGTCCATTCATTCAGACTGTTTTCATGAGAGATTGATTTTGCCAATTTTAAGATGATTTATTTTATATGACACACAAAAAAAGAATTCCTGGATTTAACAGATGCTGCAAAGAAACAGAGAAAACTAAATAAGCCTGTGGTTAAATCATCCATATAAACAGCACATTCTTTAAAAAAATGTTTAGTTTTATAAGTTTGATGCCATTGAGCGCATCGGTTTTTGATAAGAGCTCATCTGGAAATGGTTTGGTGTGGGTTTGGGTTGTGGGGAGCCTGGGGCAGGCCGGCCTGCACTCCATGGATGGGATGCCGTTGGAGAGCATCTGCACATGTGCTGAGTAAAGCAGGGAACTCAAGGAAGCCCACACAGACGGCCAAGTCAGCGCTGCGTTTACCACTGTAATCTATGGGTGGGCAGCTAAGTCAGTGTTTGTCAACCCGGTCGTGGGGGACCCGGAGATGATCCACGCTTTTGATTTCTCCCAGCTTCCCTGCAGACAGTTCCACATTTTTGCTCCCTGTCGGGAGCTGGGAGGGAGCGAAAACATGGACCGTCTTGAGGACCACGTTTGACAAACACCCTGCTAAGTTAACCATCCTGCGTCAGCTTGTTTTGGGTAAATATATTAATGCAGTTCACTATACAGTAACCACCAGACTGTTTAATAAAAGACAGCATTACAAGCAGAATAGATCACAGTTATTAAGGGCACCGCTGATACACGTAATTGAAAGTCATCATCATATTTCTGTTGCTTAGCAGGCCCTGCATCCAAAGCGACACGGATTATCGATTTTATATCTTTTCCTCTATTACATTCAGCGTGATGGATATTTTATTAAGGTCGCTGCCTGAATGGACGAAAATGACTGATGCACAGTCAATATTACCGGCACGAGTGTCAGA